TTAGAATTTTAGGTAGATAGTGGATTTACCCGATTGATTCTTATTTCTTAATTCCAGAGATTGGAAAAATTTTATATGTTTATTCATAAATCTATGTTCAAATAATTCAAAAGTATTGAATAATTTGTTTATTTAAGTGCGATTATTTTCGTCTATTAAATTCTTACATTTACACCGTATAGGTAACTTATTACTTATATTTCTATGTGTCTGTGAAAAATAAATACAAGAATCCCGAAAGTACCTCTGCACACTGATCCGTTTCTTATTGAGGGACAATTTCCGAACGTGGATTTTGTAGTTCATTAGTATATTGAATTATATTTTCTTGTCCTATCTAACGATAAATGACTCGAAAAACACTGTTTTCAATCATTAGGAATATACATTATTTCAATTATCGGACTAGGAATTAGAATTTTAGGTAGATAGTGGATTTACCTGATTGATTCTTAATTCCGGAGATTGGAAAAAGTCGATATGTTTATTAATAAATGTATGTTAAAAAAATTTAAAAGTATTAAATAATTTTTTCATTTAAGGGCGAGAATTTTCGTCGCATTAAAGTTATCAGCGTGTTATCGTCTATTAAATTCTCACATTTACGCCGTATAGGTAACCTTTTACTTATATTTCTATGTGTCTGTGAAAAATAAATACAAGAATCCCGAAAGTACCTCTGCACACTGATCCGTTTCTTATTGAGGGACAATTTCCGAACGTGGATTTTGTAGTTCATTAGTATATTGAATTATATTTTCTTGTCCTATCTATCGATAAATGACTCGAAAAGCACTGTTTTCAATCATTAGGAATATACATTATTTCAATTATCGGACTAGGAATTAGAATTTTAGGTAGATAGTGGATTTACCTGATTGATTTTTAATTTTTCACCATCATAAGGTTGGAGTGAATCAGTCACTTTTATTAATAAATTAAAGTACATATTATTCTAAATAGAAGTCAAAAATTTGTTCAATTTTTTCAATGGTAAAGTAAAATTAAAATGAATTCTTTGAGCTGTATTATAGATACTACAGAGCTCGTGTTGATGTTGTTAAGTTAATTGAATATGTTCAAGCTTAAAGAATATTGAATCAAAAAATAATAATTTTTGAAAATAGGTGATTATAATCCGGACACTGGTCCATTTCTTATTGAGGGACAAGTTTCAAACACGGACTTTGTAGTTTATTAGTAAATTTAATCTTACTTTCGTACTTTATCTAACGATAAATGACGCGAAAAACACTCTTTCCAATCATTTGGAATTTACATTTTTTCGAAAATTTGATTAGGAATTAGAATTTGAGGTAGATAGTGGATTTACCCGATTGATTCTTATTTCATAATTCCAGAGATTGGACAAATTGAATATGTCTATTTATAAATCTATGTTCAAATAATTCAAAAGTATTGAATAATTTGTTTGTTTAAGTGCGATTATTTTCGTCTATTAAATTCTCACATTTACACCGTATAGGTAACCTTTTACTTATATTTCTGTGTGTCTGTGAAATTTAAATACACGAATCCTGAAAGTGCCTCTGCACACTGGACAATTTCTTATTGAGGACAATTTCCGAACGTGGACTTTGTAGTTTATTAGTATATTCAATTATATTTTCTTGTCCATAGATTTCTTTCTTTACACTTTCGCTCCCATTTGCTTCTTGCTTCAAGATGGTGTGGGCAGTATAGACTGTTGTATCCTATATCCGGTTTATGCCGGGTTCACCGTCAATTTTGGTTTCTTCCGTAAATGACGGCGGATACTCGTTTATTTGAGTTCGACTTTTGGGATTAATCAAACACTGAACTCATCCGTTTTGAAATAATAACTTATTGTTTATTATTATTTAAGTTTATTTAAAAAGACATTTAATAGGTTCTACGTATAACTATACGGAGTCGTTGTTTTAACTCGACTGCCGTCGTCGTTCGCATTTCATGCGCTCGGCGACGGAAGACGTTACCAAAAAATAATATATTACTTACTTAGCTAAATACAAACTATGTTTTAAACCAAGGGTTCTCAACA